GAAAGAGAAAACAGCCTGGCAGGCATGTAACACTGGAAAAAGCTGGACTCAAGGACAGCACAGAGGCCCTCATCCTGGCTGCACAGGAACAGGCCCTAAATACCAGAGCAATAGAGGCTCAGATCTACCACACCAGACAAGACCCAAGGTGTAGGTTGTGCAAGGAGGCCTCTGAGACAGTCCAGCACATAACAGCAGGGTGCAAGATGCTGGCAGGGAAAGCATACATGGAACGACATAATCAAGCCCCGAGGTCAAAGTGGGGAACACCCCCAAAGGTGGTGGAAAATGACCGAGCTAAGATCCTGTGGGACTTCCACATCCAGACAGACTAGATGGTAATGGCGAACCAACCGGACATTGTGGTGGTGGATAAAGGTGGATGTAGCAATACCAAGTGACCACAACATCAGGAAAAAGGAGCACGAGAAACTGGAGAAATACCAGGGCCTCATTTTAGGTTAATTATTCCTATTTTTCATGGTATTTCATAAAAAAAAAAAAAAAAAGCTGGCATTTCATACACCAGATACAAACAACATTATATCAGCAACATTATGTGTTTATCTCGACTCCAGTAAATTAAAGCAGTGCTTTGCCACAGAGAAGACAGAACCACCAGCCACTCTTTTACAAAAAATAGCAACATGGCTTTTAGTTCTGGTTTTTAAAGCGGCCGACCAAACTAATCCACACAATGGAGTTAAGTGGCTGATAAAAATGATGTCCAGATTAAATGGCTAGTGAAAAACAACAGATGTGATTAGCACAACCGCTCCAAACATGACACAGAATTTTGCATGTGACAGCTGGCAAGCAACTTTACCCTGGTTATATAGACAGGCATAGTTTAGAAATGGCCTCTGTTAAAAAAAAAAGCCTGAACTGCAAAAATGCCCTGACAAAAATAGATGATGTTTCTTAAAGCTATGTTATTGAAATAATTTTAATAATGCCAGCTCTTATTAAAGAATCTTATACTGATAAGTCAGCAACACCCAGCAGCTTCTTGTGGCAGATTTATTTCCCACACACCCAAGCACTCTGAGCACTGTTGCCAAGATGGAGCAGAACTGCACAGTGGACAGTGAAACACAGCCAGTTTCTGTGTCCATCATGTCACAAAATGTGTTGGACTGCTAATAAAGTTGGTTTCTTAACAAAATAAGTGCTGGTAGAATCCTAATCCTACTATGTATTCTCTGTTGTGCACCTGTTAGTAGGAGTAACTGTGCCACAGAGTTCTGGATTTTCAAGTTTAAGTGGTTATTATTGAGATATTATATAAAATCAGTTAATGTTCACATCATAAGACTGTAATTGTAAACATATTGCAAATAGAAAAAACAGTCCTGTCCTTCTGAGTCTTTTAAGCTACAGTCCAAAATAAGGCTGGTTTCAGTGTAATTAAATTAAAATAAATAATTAAATTCTCAGTTATTTACCAGCTTCTTGATTTAAGTCCCCAGGAAAATAACTGAGAATTTAAAACAAGCTTTAATAGACAGGCAGGCAGGCAGACAGACAGACGGACACAGACAGGCTGAACGATAATCACTTCATAATCAGCATTTACAAAATAAAGTGTGCTTTAAACTTAGTATTAAGATACGATAAGATGGCCTGCTGCTTTCTATGCTCGTGCTGTTTAGGTGTATGCCCGGTATATGCAAATATATTCACAGCAGTCAAGATTTATGATAATTTCAAACACTGATGCATCAGACTTGTCATCTATCCGTATATCTGTGTGGTGCTTTGTCTGCAGCCAGGTCTCCACAGACCCAGATGGCCTGTGAGGTTATAACATCACCCCAACGAGGTTGAAAAGCAGACATGCAACAAACGTATGCAAATGTAATGAATCAGTAATGTGTTGAATCAATTAGCAAGATGGTACTCAGCTCATCAGACATCCTCCGCAGTAGCCGGGAACTTATTTCGCTTTCATTGTAGGTCTCGCCAGATTCCGTACCACTTCATATTTAACACTCTTTTCAATTTTACATTCATATAATTAACTGGAAATTATCTGTAATTGTCTAATCAACAACCCAACCCTATTTATTTGTATTGCATTATGATCTCTTCTATTCTGTTCTCCTACGTAAAGGGGGACCAATTTGAAAACAAATATGTATTTAATTAGTAGAAATATGCACTGTAATAAATAGGTAATGGAAAGGAGTTCTGTGAAAACAATACTTTTACTTTCTGGGAATCCCTGTCCTCTAAACATGAAACTATTTAGTCTGATTCTACAAATGCAAATTTAAATACTTGTGTTTGTCACTGGGTTGGTCTAATCCTGTTGCACATAAAAGATTCTAAATTCCCCTTAGTACCCAGAGGGAAAATGCTAAACATGCGAACAAGTTTGCGCAAATATCAAAATCAAAATGTGACTGCAAAGCAAGTGATACATAATGCAACGTTTTGTGCTTTTTGTTTCATCCTAAAAGATTTATTATCTTCACAAGTTGGATTTGTGCAGAATAGATTTAGAATACCATATCTCATTTTTATACAATGAGAAGATGAAACAGATTTTTTTTTCTTTCAATGTGTTAGGCTCTTCAGTTCCTCAAAGGAGGGCTTTACATGCTTTTGTGCCAAGCTGGCTTCAATGCTGTGTTGGAATGTCCAAGTTAGTCCATCTTGCTAGTTGAAAACGATACATTGCTCTTTTAAGAGATTTAACAGTGGCAATAGTTTTAATAATCTGACATTTTAATTTAAAAGATCTGAATTGCATATCTTACAGCCTCCTTGTTTTGCTTGATAGAATGCGTTTCCTTTCACCTGCCCAACTAACTCATTATAACCACCGAATTTGGCAAGTCCCAGCACTGACAGACACAAAGCCAGTGCTGCTGGTGCAGCAGCTGAAAAGTGAGGGTGGGTGTTTTCATGTTACTGGCAGGATTTTAGATGTAAGCATTTACTGCTTGCAGTGGCTCTGAACACATGTTGAGCACAGCTAGATGGAAATTAATCCATGCAGTGTTGCATCAACAAAGGAGGGATTTTTTTTTTTCCTTTTTATGATATATATTCCATTTCTGCATGTAATGAGGCATTAAATGCACTATGAATACGGCATGTGGCCAAAGCTTAATTTACTCTTGGAGTGGTTGCAAGGCTCATACCTTTTAGCATTCCAGTGGATTTGCAAACTGATATGTTTTATTGGCAGCAGATAATCACTGTCAGTGTGTTTGCCATGTCTGACATTTTCTTCTCTTTGGTGGCAGTGCAGGGTTTGTTGTAATTCCAGCCAGACAAAATGAGCTCCAGCCAGTGGGAGGTCTTATTCGATCTGATTCCCCTGCAGAGGCTTGTCTCTCTGCAGCCTCATTCCATCACGAGTATTGTGGCAGCCTTGTTGGTGCAAAATCAAGGCATCTAGCCTCATTTCTTCTGATTAAGTCAGCCCCTCACCCTCAGTGGTGAGCATTTCCACCTCAGTTAACAATTTTTACAGTTTAGAAAACACCTGTCATAATACACTGGTGTTTCTCTGCTTGTGGGCTGACAGAAAGAGATGATTAACAGATAACAGAAAAACCCAGTAGGACCCAGTACATGTTGTTAATTTTTAAATAATACATTTACTTTGTGATACAGAGTGTGCCCTGCTCTTGGCAAAGCCAGTAACTGCACTGCAGAGTGTGAATTACTTAACAGCACATCTTGACAGAGCCTTGTCACATTTTATACTTTTAGCACCTATATATGTTTGATGTAAGGAATGCATAGATTTATTTGTAGGTTGTTATCTTTAAATGTAAAAAAAACAAGGAGTAGCAGTGACACATCAGCACTGCTGAATGTAAGTGAGAGGTACGGCTGTGCTCCATGTGTATGGTTTTCTGGGTTTATTTTTATCATAAGCATTTTTACGCATACTCCTGGACCTGTTGGTTGAATTGACTCATCAATCTCAATATGATTTGATTCTGAAATAGCAGACTGTTTTTTTTTTGTTTGTTTTTTTGTCCATATTGTGCTTTGATGTAGTATATGAATTCAGATTGTTGCTAATATCAGCTACCTACAAAACAAAAAAAGATCGGATCATTTGTTGTGGATGTGGAGCAAAAAATTTACAAAATATGTATAGGTGAGCAAAACTACAAATCAATAAAAAAAAAAATCAAAACATCAGTAAGCTGACCATAGAAATCCTTTCTAAAGCTAAAACCTTCTGTATGTTTTTGCATGTTACCCTTTAAAAGTTGAAATTAATTTTCTCCTAAACCCTTAATATGCAACAGAATCCCCACGTTCCATTTTTTTCATTGCATTTTCTGGGGGGGTGGGATGGTTATTAACCATTAATATTTTTAAAAGATTTTTTTAAAAGCATGTATAAATTATTTATTGGCATTCAGGTATTTCTCACTGTTTATGTTTTAAAAAATATACACAAAAGGACATAACCAAGTTTTACAATTTTTTGACATGATGATTTCCAAATTTTCTACTTGACTTTTTAGAATATCTCCCTTAAATCATCAGGAAAATAAAACATATGTAAGAAGAAACTGTACTTAATGGATGTTAATTGAGCAAGTTTTGCATAATTACATTAATGACAAAAGTAGAGTTTTTTTTTCTCTTTCTTTCATTAAATTCAACACAATCAATAGTCTTCTACCAACATTAAATGAGTACTGTTTTTTTTTCTTCTCTTTCTTACAGGGAAGCCTAACACCAGATGAACTATGAATGCGGAACACAATGATCTACTCCCTCCAACGCCAGACAATGAGAGGTCGTAGGCTGAAGGGGGCACTGTCCAACCCCCTTTTTGTGGTGCTTTTGGCTCTTCAGATACTGGTGGTGGCTGGACTAGTTCGTGCTCAGACCTGTCCTTCTGTCTGCTCATGTAGTAACCAGTTCAGCAAAGTCATCTGCACACGTCGTGGTCTACGGGATGTCCCAGATGGCATTTCTACCAATACTCGGTACCTGAATCTTCAGGACAACCTAATTCAGGTGATCAAGGTAGACAGTTTCAAGCATCTACGCCATCTGGAGATTTTGCAACTCAGCAAGAATCATATCCGCAGCATTGAAATTGGTGCTTTTAATGGGCTGGCAAGTCTGAACACATTAGAACTCTTTGATAATCGACTTACAACAATACCCAATGGAGCGTTTGAGTACTTGTCCAAACTTAAAGAACTCTGGCTACGGAACAATCCCATTGAAAGTATACCATCTTATGCCTTCAACCGGGTTCCTTCACTTCGAAGGCTAGATCTAGGGGAACTCAAACGTCTCTCCTACATTTCTGATGGAGCTTTTAAGGACTTGACCAACCTGCGCTACCTGAACTTGGGAATGTGCAACCTCAAAGAGATCCCTAACATCTTACCTTTAATTAGGCTCGAAGAGCTAGAAATGTCGGGAAACCAGTTGTCTGTCATTAAGCCCAGCTCATTTACAGGTTTAGTGAGCCTTCAAAAGCTGTGGATGATGCATGCCCAGATCCAAACCATTGAGAGGAATTCCTTTGATGATCTTCAGTCACTGGTGGAACTCAATCTGGCTCACAACAACTTGACCTTTTTGCCACATGACCTCTTCACGCCATTACATCGTCTGGAAAGAGTGCACCTCCATCACAACCCTTGGAACTGCAACTGTGATATTTTGTGGCTCAGCTGGTGGCTTAAGGAAACCGTGCCTGCCAATACTAGTTGCTGTGCTCGTTGTCATTCTCCTTCAACCTTTAGAGGTCGTTATATTGGGGAACTGGACCACAGCTACTTCCAGTGTGATGTTCCTGTTATTGTTGAGCCCCCCAGTGACCTAAATGTGACAGAAGGTATGGGTGCTGAACTTAAATGCCGTACAAGCTCGCTGACATCCATCAGCTGGCTCACACCAAATGGCTCTTTGATAACACATGGGGCTTATAAGGTACGGTTGTCGGTACTCAATGATGGGACATTAAATTTTACCAGCGTAACAATGCAGGACACTGGTACTTACACTTGTATGGTCAGCAACACAGCAGGAAACATTACTGCTTCTGCAGTCCTTAATGTCACTGCAGTGGAAAACAATGGAGTTACCTATTTTACCACAGTCACTGTGGAAACCATTGAGACCCCCGTGGATGACAGTCAAACACCACTGCCCCCATATGGCTGGGTACCATCCTCTACTACAAAGGGTTTGCCCGTTTTAACAAGGACCACAGAACGGACTTATACCATACCAATTCTTAATGGAGATGGAGAAGGAGCCCTCAATGGTCTGGATGAGGTGATGAAAACCACCAAGATTATCATTGGCTGCTTCGTAGCCATTACACTCATGGCCGCTGTTCTGCTGGTTATTTTCTACAAGATGAGGAAGCAGCATAACCAACAGGACCCTGATGGTCCTGCCTCCTCTATGGAAGTCATTACTGTTGAAGAAGAGCTTGCAGGTGTTGCTGCTATGGAGAGACACCTATCGCTCCCCCCACTGGAGCACTACAACCACTACAACACGTACAAGAGCACTTATCACCACCCTCCAATGCTCAGTACCATACACAGCTCGGCCACACAAGAACCTTTACTGATTCAAGCTTGTTCAAAAGACAATGTCCAAGAAACCCAAATCTGACCTTAAGATTGACTACATATCCAGTATTGCCAGTCTACAACTGGAATACAATGGACCAAAACTTTAAAAAATAAAAGAATAAAATGCCGTTGACTTGACAGTTGATCTTGACGGCACTCAGTGTTTGGCAAAGAGACAACTTGAAACTTTGAAAAGGGTCTTTACAAAAACAAAAGTTATTTATTAAAAATGTCTAGTGGCTAAATAAAAAAAAACAGTTTGTGATAGCTTTTTAGCTCATTTTTTCTCTCTCTCTCTGTGGTACTGCTCAAGGGAAAGAATGGTTTATTAAATGTGAATATGAGCTGGATGATATGCAGCTTGTGAAACTACAGCAGATTTTGGCCTAGTGTGCAAATGTTTCTGATTCCATTAACCTGTTATTTGTTGAAGGACATCACTGTGTCCAAAATGGAGGAAGCTTACAAGACATCAAACAAAACAACTGCAGTGTTATTTTCCTAACCATCATATTCCAGCTGTCACTCACGATGAGATTAGATCTTTTAATGACACAGCTCTGGTTTATATCACCGTGGAACCAGCATGCCTGCAGAGCAAAGCTGCCAAATGAGTAAATGTGCATTTCCCCTGTGGCTCCTAAACAACAGCCATACATCCTTTGCTTTAATTAAGATTAAGGTCTCGCTCCCACTCTGCCTCCTCACATTTCTCTAGACTTCATACCCTTAATCATTTTCCTTCTGTTCCTCCTCTGTTCTTTTATCGCTAAATTATCCATTTTCCCTGGTCAACATTTGCCCTGTTTTCACTCTTCTGGTTTGTGCGATTGCCTTTCTGTCATTGAGCTTTGGCATGTTCTTCACCCCGTTCTCATCTCTCATTTGTCTTGCTTTGTCTGCATACGTGTGCTGCACAACGGCAAAATGTTTCTTAGGAAAATGAAGGGTAGCATAAGGTTGTGGTCTGCAGCCTCCCTGTTAACCTGGTAATGATCTACATCCACTCGGTGTCGCGCCACCTTGCCGTCACCCCAGGGTCACACGAGCTCAGGCGCTGATAGTCCATCTGTTAGTTCGGATAAAAAGGCAAATGAGGCTGGTTTGTAATGTAGTGTGACCCTGTCAGACAAACAGGGGTAGCATAGTCAGTGAAGCAGCTAGGAACCTGCAACAAACTAAGAAAAGTTGTGTTATAGCTCATTAATCTGTATCAGCAGTTCATTTCCGGACTAATAGAGGAAAGCTGATAAGAAAACAGCATGAGACTTTGTGGCTGACATCTTACAGAGGGTAGAGGGCTTTGATATTGACGCGACCCCTGCTCAGTCTCATTTTTGGCAGAGGAAAAACTCTCAGACATTTTGATGTCACACCATTTATAGACCATCAAAATATTGTCTCTCCCCCTGTCTATCTACATGCTGCGGTTTTCATTTAGTCTTAGTAGAATAGGAGGCTTAAGGAAGTGGATAATAGGAGTGAAAAGGAAAGAGCAGTGTTTGGGGTAGAGGCGAGAGGCCATGGGGGGGCTCTTATCAACAGTGGTCATGAAAGGTCTTCAAACACTGATATTGCACATATGATGGGGAGAAGTAAAAAATAAATAAGAAATAAGGAGGCAAACTAGCCATCAGCCTGTCGCCATGGAAACAGTGACCTTATGTGGAGAGTAAGAGGAGGTAGACATGCCTTTTGCTTTGGTCTCCGTGCAACAAGCATATTTTAATTTCCCACTGGCAAATTCGCAATTTGGGCCAATTATTAACCAACATTTCTTAATGGAATGTGCGTTTACAGCTGGGTTTGGTGGGATTTGACTCACAGTACATTGTACTAAGAACATGGGTTGTAGTGTTACTGATTGTTACTTCCAAACAAATCATGTCAGAATAGCAAAAAAAAAAAGGTCCTTGATGTCCAGTCACGAACTTGAAATTTCTGGGAATTTTCCAAAAAATTATTCATATAGTTGACAGAATTGATTCAAAAATAATTTCTTAATTCAACCAACATGTTTTTACTGACTGGAGCTAATGAACATTCTGGACTGATCCAAGAGGAGTCTCTATTGGAACAAAATACAGGCAAGGTATACTTGGAACTTATTGCCAAACATGAATAATCAAAAAACACCAGTAGCTGGTCAATGGTTATTAGAGGATTTTTTGCAGCAATGCCAATAAAGGCTTTTCCATTAGTTAATTAAGGGTATTTTTTTTCTTTAATTAAGGAAAGAGATTTTTTTTTTTTAATATACCCCTTCAACAATATCTTACTATTGTTTGGGGAAATATTTTTTTTTTTTTTCCATTTATGTCAAACAAAATTTCTGAATTAAATCATTTGAAATCTTTTTGCCAGCACCATGAATAATTTTGAGCTGTATGACAATGTGATCTTGGATTTTACACTAGAATAACAACTCAAACAGAAGTAAAATTAGCAGTTTTTGCCTTTGCAGCCACTCCAGATGTAAATGCATGTCAGGCCTGATAAGCTAAACCAGGAACTACTCACTGCAGCTCTTCACTTTGGATGACAAGAATGGTGCTCTGCAGAGTAAGGACAACAAATAAACCATTCTTTCCCTTTTCACTCTTTTCTTTTATCAAATGCTCAATTCCTTTTCAATGCTTTTGGTGGATTAATGATTCAATGTTGATGCTGGCTACTGTAAAAAAAAGGTTCAGATTTTTTATATATATTTGGAGCTTGTGAGTTTTTCAGAATGAATGGGAAATCTGTGTATTAGTCACTTTTGGCAGGACGGCTTATCTAGAAAGATATTTGATTGCTGGGATGGAATTGAATGAAGCCTGTCGAGCAGAATGTTGGACTCGACATACCAGCAGACTAAGTTTGTTTTTTGCGCAAACCCCCAGCCAAGGTGATCAAATTCTTGTGTGCAATTCTGCCAACTGTCCATATATGGGAGGGTTATCGTGTGTGGGGACATCTCTCATTTTTTGGAGAGGAAAATCATCACATGGCTAAATTTCTACAGAAAAAAAATATTTTCAAAAACATAATGCAAAAAAAAAAAATCTTATGATCATAATTTTACATGTGCTCCAAGTTGTTAAAAAAAGACAAAAAAACAAAACAAAAACAAGAAAAAAAAGAGTGCTTGTATGGAGTCCAAATAATTTCACTAAGGATGATGTTCAATATTGATACCTGAGATTGTAGTTCATACTGTACATGAATACAAATAAAAAAACGGCAATTCTCTTTTTTCTACAGAGTTGGCATGGATCATTAACAAAGACGACAATCAGAACTTCCGTTTGCAATGTGCTTGTTTTGTTCGTGTATCGACATTTGTGCTAAGAAAACTAAACAGAAAAGTGTGATTTAGTTCAAGAAGACAAATTCAAGAAGGCAAGTAAATCTTTCCAAGACGAACGGAAAATACCCATTCCCATCCACAAACTGGGATATTATAGAATATTTATAGACTTAAAATAAATGTACACGTCTTCAGTGAAAGTAAAAATGTAGTGCTTCAAAAAAAAAAAAGAAAGCAAGCATGCATCTCATTTTGACAGGACCATCTCCCCAAATGGCACAGAATTGTTCAGGGTCAAAAATGCTTTTGAAAGTGTCTCACTGCTGTCACAAAGTACTTATAAAATGGTTGCCCAGCAAAATTAAGCAAATGGAGTTGGCTTCATTCAGATTCTACTGGGATAAATGGTTGGCCCTGCACACTGTCAATTCCAATACTCTAATTGATTAATTAGCCACGTAATGGATTCATTAAGGCTAAATAAAATTAAGCCAAATTCAATAAAAAATGAAAGGTAAGTGAAAAATGAATGAATTGTACTTTTTCTCCACAGAAGAAATGCTAATATTCTACTTTTATTTTTATCAGTACGATGTAGGTTCAACAGAAACTAGGAATACATCCTTGTTAGTGCAATAACGATGATGTTTGTCAGTACAAATTCTACCGTTTGGCATTTCCTAGTTAAATTTTAGATGCTGGATGACTGTGGAACATAAAGCACCGTAAACACAGCTACACATCAAATGTCAGCCAAACACAAAGCAGCCTGCAGACGAAAGGAAAAAGATATCCATAGGGGAAACAAAGTCACAACTAAGAAACACATGTTGTTCATTGGCTGTAGCTTAATAAAAGCCCAATTAAGGTTTGTTAATTAGCAGCATACTACATGGTGGTTTATTTTTAGTTTGACATCATCCTCTGACTGCAGACCAGACTTTTACTGATTTCTCCTTCTTTTTCCAATTTATTTAACTTTAGGTTGATTCCTTCGAGCACTGTTGAGAGGTCAGTGTCTTAGCAGCAGAAAGACCACAATCATTGTGATCATAATTTGAAGTATAAGTGGGAATTTGATTCAAGAAACCATGCTATAAGCTGCTCAGTACAGGAGGAAATGAAAAGCTAATTGTAATAGTTCAAATTGCCTCTATTTCAAAGTTTCCATACCTGTTTGATATAATTCTGTAACTAATGTTAAAGCAGCAACAATGCAATTGTTATCTAATTGATTTAATTACCTTAAAAGGTCTGCTAACAGAGAGATTATAGTGATGGTTAGTGAGATGAAATACCTTCTTAATCTGCTCATCAGCAGCCTGATACGTGAAGATCTGAACATTGGTGTCTGTGAAGGTGAGCCACATGAACCTAAACAACAAACAGACATTCCATTCACTGAAATTTTCAGTCCATCTACAGAGGTGAAAATAGTAAAAGAAACAAAAGAAGGAAAACAAAAGGGATTTCTTTCCTGGAAATCAACCTTTTTTGTGTCCTTGGGATCCCGGCAAAATAAATGATCAAACTTGAGAAAATAGCATGTGTCCATCACTATTTGTTAAAATCAAGCATCACTGCTGTTTTTTCTTCTTCTGTTCATTGTTTAACGCAGTTTCCTATTTCTGCAGAGGTTTTGGCGCCACCCTTTGAATGACAATATTAATGTCATTGTTGGGATGGTCACAAAAATCTGTGCGTTCACAACTTAGCTAGCAAAAATAAACCTGGATTCAATTACATACAATGAATATCTTAGGACGGTGTAGCACTTACTTAATCACACATGTCCAGGTCAGTAGGGATAGTTTTTTTTTTTTTTGCCCTCCCATTTTAAATTATAGTATCTAAACTACCTTTTGTATTTATTCAAGTTATTTCTAGATGATATTAAAATTTGTTTTGTGATGCCAATCATTTATGTTGACAAAAAGCAAAAGAAATCTGTCAG